TTCCTCCTTCCAGTTCAATATTACATATTTTACCATATTCCCATTTTTAACTCTGCTGCCAAGCAAATTCAAATCCAAATTTTACTCTTAGTCATTCAGTTATGTTGCCACCTGGGAACAGAATATATGCTTCCTCCTTTTCCTCATTTTTCTTTTATATATATTTATATATGTATATATAAAATTATACTTCTCAATCTTTTAAGTTACAGAAATTCTTTCTGAAATAAAATAAAATATAAATAAATTCCAAGAAAATAAAAATAACCCTTCTGTTCCACCACACCAAGGCGTCTGCACTGCCACCACTCTTCCCTGACCAAAGGAATGAGTGGGCAGTTACAACTAGGCATACATGTGCGCTAAACTAAAATTTCAGAACCTATACGATTAAGGTAAATATGCTACCAGAGAAAAACAACAGTTAGTATACCTAATATACTAACCAAAAAATGCCTACAAAAGAAAATGAGAAAATGCAAAGTTGGCCAAAATTCAACAATTAATTTTGTGTTTTCACACTCATTATACTTTGTATGCTTTGTTTTCTAGCACATGGATGTTGTGGAAAATAGAGAAGCGCAATAAGAATATGTGACATTATAAGTCAGATATGAAGAAAACTTTATATACTTGTTGTGAACTTTTGTTAAAACACATGAAATGTGCTTTCCCACAGGTGTTTTCGCCAGGCCTGAAGATATCCTGGCAGTTTCATGAACGTAGCTGCCCGCCTCGAGTCTGGACACCGACAACATCTAACTCAGCCAAGCGCAGGACCTCGCCAGCACACACCCCTGACACATGGTATGTACGCCCCAACAGAAAATGCAAAGCCATGGGCTACAGAAACGAATCCCCTAATCAGTCCATTTCTTAACTTCCAGAACTGAAGACCAAATCACTCAGCAAATAGGGCAGGTTAGTCACTGCTAACAAACAGGTCCTGAGATAGTCTTGTCTCGTTTTAGAAATAAAGGATAACACAGAGAACACACACCAAGATGACAATTTCATGCTGCAATTTTTCCAATTTACATCTCAAAAAGACTTTGAAAAGGTTATTCTTAACAAAGTCAAAGCGCTTCACTAAGCAGTAGGTCCGAAAGAACACAATCCAACTTAGGTTTTAGAAAGAACATTTATTTGCTCGCCACCAGAACTGCTACAGACATGAAGAAAGCTGTGCACTCCCTACCCTCAGGAAACAGTCCTCTAGGCAGTCACCCGGATTCTTTCCACAGGGGTGGCAAAAATCACACTGCCTTCAAGGCCCAGGTAGGGAATCTAAATATGTGAGTGGCTCTATCTAATGGAGTAAGGACTAGAAAGAATAACTATAGAATTTACGTCCTACCTAAAGAGCAATTCTAAACCAACTTCAAAAGAAGGCTATCCAAAAACGCAAGAAATGTTTAACTGTTAATCAGGTAAAGATTGGGAAAAAAAAGAAAAGCTCACAATGGCATGGAGAAGCTAGACCTCCACATTTCTGGTGAGAGCTTATACTGCAGTGACCTTTCTGGATGGCAGTCTGGTAACATACACACATCAAAATGAAAAACATGCATCTCCTCCCACCCAGTGATTAATTAGACTCTTAGAAAGTTACCCCAAAGAGTCATCAATGGGCAACAACTGTACATACAACGCACATGTACAATATACAATAAATTTAAGCAATCTTAATATCCAGCAATAGGAATACCACTAAATTACGGTGCGCAAAGTCGATAAAAGAAGAAGAAACTATTAAAAGAACAGAGTGGATGCAAATGTATTGACCTGGAAAGCCACCCGTGAATGCTGATTCTTACAGCACACAACTATGAGCCAAGATGGCGCCATCTGCCACGTTCCCAAGTGCTATTTCTGGTTATACCTGGAAGCAAGATTCCAAGCCACAGCCTGAGAAGGGCTGGCTGGTGTCAGTGGTGCGGGTCTTCTGAGAACTGCTCATTGAGAGCCAGCTGCACCCAACATGTCCAGTAGAAATAAACACTAGCTGTCCAGCAGCGTGCAGCAGTTACAGAATAAAGTGGACCCAGGGTGGGGAGGGGGCACGGGTAAGAGCTCAGTGGTAGAGTGCATGTCTAACACGCAAGAGGTCCTGGATTCAATCCCCAGTACCTCCACTAAAAAAAAGAATTAAAAAAATTAAGTGGACCCTCTGGCCTACACCGAGGAGTTTCCACAAAAGTAGAACATTCACCACAAATCCAATGTGGAGATTTTCAAATTGCAACCAAATAACCCAGCAAGGAACTGGCAAAGCTGATGATGTCTGCGGCACAGACTGGTCATGGCCACCCAGAACATCTAGATAACTTTCCTCAAGAACTGAAAGATCTGTTCTCCCACAGTTTCACCATCTTGAGTGCAAAGCTTCCAATAACATCTTCAGATGCTTCGATCTCATTGAGAAGAGGCTTCTTCAATCAAGGCCGCTAGAGCTCTCCTTTGAACCTTTACACTGCCATATAAGCTTCTAAGACTTGATGTACTCATTTTGTGGCTGATGAGAATAAAAGTACAAAAAAACAAGAATAAACTGAACACAGTATTGCAGACCTTCAGACACATGTTAAGGGATAGCAAAGAAACTGCAGCCAAGATATCGCTGGAAGTGATGACTGAGCGCTGTAGAAGAACACCTGAACTGATGCCAAGGCTGTCGATGATACCTCGACTGCATGCTTCTCTGAGGTCACCAAAGTGCTAGCTGCTGCCCTGACATTCTTCCAAGGAAAGAGAAAACAAGCGGAACGGCTCAGGGACCCAGAACGCTGATGAGTGCACCACGGCGCAGGGGCTCCAGACACACGAAGGCTATGGAAGTACTGCAGAAGCAAAAGCAGAAAAAAGTCAGAAGTGTGTCACTTCCCAGCTATCCATTTGACTCATGAGCCCCAGGATTTCAGAAGAACTACTAAAGCAGCTGAAGAGCTAAAAGGAGACATCTGAAGTAAGGATGGTACTCATGAACCTTGTCTCCAGATTGGCAGGAATGCATGAAGCTATTTCTCCCTAACTTCTAGCCCCTGGTGCAAAGGTTTCCGCAGCAGCACCAAAAATAAGTAACAAGATCATTCCGCTGCACTGTGCACATTTCACACCACCTGGCAGTCCCAGAGACCATTCAGTCATTGCTCATGACCACGGCCACCCATTTTGTTACAACAAGAACTCTGGGGAAGTCATGACAGTAGGAAGCAATACTCTGGAAGAGATAAAAGCTCGATGACTGACAAACTTCCTCAAAACCTTGCCCAGTAAAACACACAAAGAATGGGATGATGTGAGGAATTCCAGGGTAATACCACAGAGGCGTCAATAAAATCAAGGGTGTAAGAGTATGAAGAATTAGATGCCAAACACTGCATTCCAGGAACAGACGTTCTGGAAGGTGAGGAAGAGAATGCTGAGAACGATTAAAAACGAAAAACAAAAAAACATGTGAGGCAATAACAGCCGTAGTGAGGAGGCAGCTGTCGGTAAGCGGGTTGACATGCACCACTCTTCTGATGAAGAACAGTAAGAAGTCTCCAAGAAGCTGAAGGCTTCCTGGAGGAGCCAGAATGTCCAGTCAAAAAATGTTTCACTTCAAAGACATTATTACTAAATGAAAGAGGCCAGTCTGAAAAAGTTACAAACTGTATGATTCCAACCAAATGATGTTCTGGAAAAGGCAAAGCTACAGAAACAATAAAAAGATCATGGTTTCCAGGGGTTTGGGGGGAGGGAGGAAAAGATGGAGCACAAGGGATTTTTAGGGTAATGAAATTATTCTATATAATACTATAGTGGTGACTACATGTCATTATACAGTTGTCAAAACCCACAGAATGTACAACATCAAGAGTGAACCCTAATGTAAACCATGGACTTTGGTTGATAATAATGTGTCCATGTTGGTTCATAGACTGTAACAAACATGCCACACTGATAAAGGATGTTGAGGGTAGGGGAGTGTATATGTGTAGGTGGGGAGGGCTATATGCAAAACTCTCTGTATTTTCTGCTCAATTCTGCTGTGAACTTGAAACTGCTCTAAAAAATAAAGTCTATTAAAAATAATAATAAGTGTTTCATGGGTGGAAGATATAGCTCAGTGGTAGAGGGCACGCTAGGCGGGCACAAGGTCCTAGGTTCACTGTCGCAAGTGCCTCCGTTAGAGGGGAAAAGGTGTTCTTCAGAGAAAAGCACCGGTGCTACAAGATAAACTTCTGAAAAAAAGAAAAATAACTAAGAAACTTCCAAGCAAGTCTTCCATTCCAAAAAAAAATGCTAAATTTGTGTCATTAATCTGAATGTTAGTGAATTAAGACTGTTTATTTGCATTAAAAAGTCCAGAAGCACTGTATTTTTAAAACCACCCCAAAAAAGCACACTGCTGAACAATGATCGGTTTGATCCCACTTTAAAAGCTCTGCAACGACAAAAAAAAAAAGCCCTAACATGTAGATTTTAATTTGCAATGTAAAAATATTGGTTTAGCAATTGTAACAAATATGCCATGTAATGCAAGGTATTATTAATAAGGGAAAATGAAGGGTGGGTTAGATATGGGAACTTTCTGTACTAACCACACAAATTTCTGTAAATCTAAAACTGCTGTAAAAAATAAAGTCTATCAATTTTTTTTAAAAAACCTGCATGTGTAGACAGATTTGCAAATAAACATTTATTTTGCAAATAAACATTTGCAAATAAACAGACAAAGAGAGCGAGAAAGCTGTATTTCCAACTATTATCAGTGTTTTTTTTCTACAGAGTGAGGCTGGGAAGAGCACAGGAAGAAATTTTACATTATATACCTCAGGACAGCCTAAGAACTTTCCACACTGAGCTGCACTCTAAGAGGCTCTGTAGCACACTGAGAGCCTAAGTCCTGGAACCATCCTGCATGGATTCTAATTCCAGCCCCGCCATTACCTAGCCGACAAACTTGGGCAGTTAATCTCTCTGTGCCTCAGTTTTCTCATGTGCAACTAGGGATAATGGTATGGTTACTCCTGGAGCTGCTGCAGGTATTAAATGACTTTACTACATGTAAAGGACTAGAAAGCTACCTAGGACGTAGTAAGCGATCAATAAGTAATGCTCATCACCGCTACCACCACCAAGCATCTATTATCCCTATAATCTTTTTTAATGTTGACTGTAAGACAAATCAAGAAAACCTGGTTCATCAAGCCCCTTTCTAGTGAGATCTTCAATGCAAAAGTTACAATTTATTCAATAGCCAAATAAAAATAATCTGAGGGTTTTTAACAGATTACAAACCAAAACTTAGCAATATCATCATTCCACTTACATAAAACAATCACTAACAGATTCTGTAAGGACAATCACGAAAACAAATGCCTCTAGGTGCTGTCATCCTGGACAATTTTTACTTTCTCTTTTATACTTTTCTAATTCATTTAAATTTTCTATACTGCCTCTGCGTCATTCTTAATAAAAAAGTCTGCAAACTTTTTCTATTAAAGGCCAGACAGTAAATATTTTAGGTTTTACAATCCATAGGGGTCTCTGTCCCAACTCCTCAACTCCACTGTTCACCACAAAAGCAACCACAGACAATATACAAACGAAAGCATGTGTCTATGTCCCACTAAAAACAATTTACAAGAAAGAAACAAACAGGCAGCTGGCAGGGCGGGAAGCTATAAAGTTTGCCAACCCCTAAAATAAGAAACAAAATTGTTTTCTTTTTGGAAAACAAAATGTGATTTATACCAAAGAAAGTACATCAGCTAAACCGACACTATAGATGGAGGGAAAAAAATCTATTATTTATGAATAATGCAAGTCTAGGGACAGAAAAATACAAACCCTTATATACAGGCTGTGGAAATCCTCCTCTCATCTTTAGTGCCCCAGTAAGAGCAAATTTGCTTTTAAGGAGCCTAAAGTCTAGATAGGAGCATACACTGCTGTGTAGGCAATTATAAATAGAAGCCAGAAGAAATATGACTTTCATATTTAAACCAATCTGGAATTTCTTCAACTTTCATAACAATTCACCACCAAGTAGCTGCCACCAGCTACTATGTTTAAGTCCCAACTACTGATGAAATGATATTAGTTTCAGATCATCAGTCAGCACTCTTGACAAATTTGTGGGAAGAGATGAAACCATCTATGGACAACTAACAGCATTAGGAGTGAAATTTCTATGAAGTAAAATTAATGAAAAATCAATGTATGAAATTCTAACAGAATTAGGGTCAGAAAGTGGCGAGAGAAGGCATGCACGCGGCCTTTCATATGAGGACACTTCCAAATTCAAAACTGACAAAGTTTCTGATCTCCGTCCCCAAAATAAAGCTTTTGAGTTGGAAGAAATTATTTTTAACATTTCATTGGGAAGAGGTCAGATGACTTGAAATGTTTGTTATGACAGATTTCTTGGCGTTTTCAATGGTTTCTCTGGAGAAGGGGGAAGGGCTATTTTGGGCAGAGACTTGGGAACAACCTAAGGCTGAGAAACTCAGAATCTAAATATAAGGACATTAAAAGACCATTTAACCAAAAAAAAAAAAAAGTGCCTGCAACCTGCAACGAAGTCAGCACAAGCGCAGCTGGACATCTGACTCCTCCTGCTGAGCGACCTCACAAGTTGTCAAAGCCCAGAGGCGGACGTAAACAAGGTCCACAGCCAGAGGGAAAGGCACCTACCCGTGCCCAGGGCGGGCTCTCCGTAGAAGCCCAGACCCGCTGAGGCCGGCGAGCAGCAGCCTCCAGAGGCGAACACCCACACACGCAGCCCAGAGCGGTCCCAGAAACCCGGCCCAGGACGCGGGCAACGGCCGGAGAGGGGCGTCCCCGCCGAACGTGCTGGGCCGGGGCCGGGGCCCGAGCGGAGCCCACCCCGCAGTGCGGCCGGAGAGAAGCGCGGAGGGGCGCTGCGGAGAGCCGGGAGACCCGGGAGACCCGGGACTGAGGGGAGCGGGGGCCGGAGGGGAGCTGGGGTTGGCGGGACCTGGAGCCGGGAGACCCGGGACTTACGGGAGCCGCGGGCGAGCCAGGCGGTGGGCGCCGGCCCGGGGGTCAGGAGGGCCGACTGGGGGACGGACACGCGCGCTCCCCGCCCGCGGCGCTGCCGGGACACCCGCCCTCAGCCCTCAGCCCTCAGCCCCCAGCCCTCGCCCCCGCCGGCCCGCCCGCCTTCCCTGCCTCCCTCCCTCCCCAAGGCGTCGCCGTCACTCCGGAGCCTCACCAGAGCTCGCCACGCGTCTCGGGATCCTCGGAACCGTGGCCGTCAGGAGCTGAGGGGAGCAGGGGGCCGCCCGCTGCCGCCGCCGCCGCCACTGCCGCGACCCAGCGTCCCGGAGTCTATTTGCGCCGCCGCCGCCGTGACGCGAATCGCACGAGGCGGCTTTAGCCAATGAGCGCGCTCCTCTTGCGCAGCCGCGCTGGCCCAAGCCGGAAGCGTCCGGCCCTCCGCTCCCGGGCCTGGTGCAAGTTGGGAGCCGCGGGTGGGTCCGGAACCCGAACGAGCGGCGCCCCGCGCCCCGGGACACGGAAGTCCTTTCGCCTCCCTCACACCGGAAGCGGGAACCGGTGCATCGGAAGAGGCGGGGCCTCCCGGCTCAGGGACGCTTCCCGGTCTCTATGGATACGGTTTACACGCCTCAGCGTCGCGGGTGGAGTCTTCGGACCGAAATCCCGAGCGTCACCCCGCTCTTGCCCGAGACTGTGATCTGTGCCCCACGACTCCCCAAAACGAGTGTGAGCCCGCTGCTCTGTAACTCAGGGCGACTTTTGAAGTGGTTCAGTGGAGCAGCAGAAACGAATTCAGCGATAAATCCTGCGTCCACCTACCCAGACCAGCGACCTTCTCCTTGCGACGTTCGGTTGAGCTCTCACCCCTTAGAAACTAGGGTCGGGTTTGATTGCATACTTACCGTATGAGAGAGCAGTCGGGTCGGCCGGTGTGGGAAGTGCTGTCTTCGCCTTCGGCTCTGAGAGGGACTGACCGCGCTCGGCCAGGCCAAACTCTGGTCATAGTGGCCAAAGGAAACCCGCGAGCTTTCGAGGACGCCTACGCCCCAGGCTTGCGCCTCCCTTGGACCGCAGCAGGAGGGAAAGAGGAGGCCGGAAAGCGTCACATACCACATAACGAAAGACCTGGGGGTGGGGGGCACGGGGGCACGAGGTCCTGGGTTTAATCCCCGGTGCCTGTGGGGGTGGGGGTCACTAAAATCGGAAAGCGCATGAGTAAGATGGTCTTAATACTGGTATCTTAGAACTAACTCCACCCAATTAGGCTCGAAAGAGATGAGATCAAGGCGGACAACCACACACGTCTGCAGCACGTCAGAAACAACACGAGCGTGTGTGCACAGCGACCTGACCCAGGACACCAAGTCACACAGGGCAAAGATGAGCACAGGGCCCACAGGCTGAATAAGAGGTCCAGTGAAGACACCAGGGATGCATAAACACAGCCTGTTCAAAGATCTCAAACCTTTTCTGCAGCCTTTTGGTGAAGGTTGACAAAAGCTTTGACAAGTGCTGTACTCCTGGACGCTTCCCCTGAAACAGTCCTTTGGGGGCTAAAATACGTGTGAAAGAATCCTTTTCCCACCGAGATTTCACCTCCCACTCCCTGTCATCCAAACCCATCCCCACATCACTACCACCAGTTCCTCGTGCTCCCGATGGAGAAACAAGCCACGTCACTTCCTCAGAATGCTCACACCTTCTCAGCTAATGAAGACGATGCCACCACCCCAGGCCTGAGGGACAGTTCCCTGAGTGTCACATCCGTGGATGGCTTCACCTATCTCTCTTACCCTAAGGTCACCATTAAATGTTCCAAAGCAGATTTTTCAGGCCTCTCTCCCCAGCTGTACTTCAGTTACTGACCTTTATATGTTGTCTTCTGACTAGCCGTCCAACAACCAAGGGAGGGCAATTCAGTAAAATTCTGCATCCTCAGTATCAGCTTGGAGGTTTAAAATCTTTGTTCTCCCTATTCCGAGGATGTCACACTTCTCCACAGGAGGGTGGAGTACTTCCTCTCCAACAGCACCCAGAAAAGGGTCCTGTCCAACACTACTCCCCAGACTAGTCACCACCAACAGTGGCCTGTGGCACAGCCAGTCTTATGTGGTCATCTCTACAATTATCACAGGTTGTTGACAAGAAACTCATCCCTGGGTGACGAATCTTCATAACTCAGTTGGGGCCATCCCAGAATGAGGCGTCAGTGATGCTGCAGTATGTACCTGAGATGGTGATGCTGGACTTGCTCTGGGGACAGACTCAGCCTGCATTGTGATGTTATGTCAACAGCCAATGGGAACTGAAGAGGTATCCCCAGCGACAAGGAAGCAAAGGTGCAGCTTTCAAATTCTAAACAGTAAAGAAAGGCCTCTAGGCCCCATTGTGAATTTAAGCTCAAGGTCACAATTGGTTTTGTTGCTTCTCCTATAACGAAAAGAGAAGTTATTTCATTTATTATTTTTTTCTTTTTTAATTTTTTCCTTGGATAGTCTTTTTTGAGATGAATTTTATTTTTTATTTAATTATTTGTGGGAAGAGGTAATTAGACTTTTTTTTAAATGGAGGTGCTGGGGATTGAACCCATGACCTCAGGTATACTAAGCACACAGTCTGTCACTGAGCTATACCCGCCCCCATTTATTGTTTTTCTAATCAGAGCAATTTCTATTTTTACAATGAAAAAAAGACAAATTATTCTGTCTACAGCTGTTCAAAAAAAATTCCAAAGGGAAATTAACATCTTCATTATTACAAAATGCTTAAAACCAACCTAAACTCTTTTCTCTGCCAATATATATAAGCTTTTGAAATATAAACATTAGAACCAAGGGGGAAAATCTGGGCAAAGTGGAAGATTAACTGTAAAAAAAGATAAGCCTAGAGAAAAAGAGCAAGGAATATTAAATCAGTCCCTGTGTTCGTCTCATATGTATGTTGTAGGGGAGAAAAAATTTCTTTCTACCCTCTTAGGTTCTGTGGCTGGCCTAAGCATTAAGCTGACATTGTTACAGAAATGACAGGCCAGTCAAGAAACAAGCACCACTCAGAGGGTTGGAGTACTCAGATGTATTACGCCGGCGGGCTCAGAGGGGCTTCTGCTCCGAAGCTCTGAGCACTTTCAAGATGTGCACAGGAGGTTTTATATGGTAAAGTACAAGCTTGGGGTATTCGGCCAATAGGCATGGAACAGCTTTAGCAGCATTATCATCACAAAAGTGGAGGCAGGGAGGCAGCAAACCAACATTCCAAAGCCAGATATGTATCTTTGAAAACCCAGCTGGCTAGCAAAAAAACATGAACAGCAAACCAACACTAATTAACCTAGATTTACAAGTTAGTCTAGCAGAACTCAGATCAGTATTCCAATACTTAGATTTGTGAGTTATCTTGTTAGCCCAGCCCAGCCTCTCCTTCACATTCCTAGACTTGTTAGACCAGCCCCGCTTTTCCTTCACAACATAAGACATTAACAAGAGAAAAGCTTACAAATATATATAATGTTTTTACAGGCACACAGGAGTGAACAAGCCCTGAAGAAGCCATTAGAGCCAAGCGCTTATATATCTTTTTACACAAAGGACAAAAAATTGTGGGTGTGTGACAAGACAAAGGGGTTGTACTGTCAGCAGTAAACTGGAGGACCTATGGGTGAAACTAGCAGAAGGGTGGGCGTCCTTTAGTAGGTCTGGTCCATTGGGTTCTGATTGTTACGGAAACGACAGGCCAACCAAGAAACAAGCACCACTCGGAGGGCTGGAGTACTCAGATTTATTACACTGGCGGGCTCAGAGGGGCTTCTGCTCCGAAGCTCTGAGCACCTCCAAGATGTGCGCATGAGGTTTTATGGGGTTAATTACAAGCTGGGGGTATTTGGCCAATTGGCATGGAACAGCTTTAGCAGCATCATTATCACAGAAGTAGAGGCAGGGAGGCAGCAGACCAACATTTCAAGCCCAGATACTATGTCTCTCTGAAAATTCAGCTGGCTAGCAAAAAACACGAGCAGGGAATCAGCAAATCGATACTTATTAACTTCGATTTACAAGTTAGCCCAGCCCGGCTTTTCCTTCACATGATCAACTCCCAGCCTCTGATGCTAAGAATGTTCTACCAAATCATCATGTTGTACACCTTAAATTTATACAACGTTCAATGTCAGTTATATCTCAGTAAAGTGGGGAGGGGGAAAAAAAAGAATGTTCTCTTCCTGGTACAAGGAGTTACCTTTTCCGTGGGAAGTATTATGACCTGCTTTTAGGTAGAAAGGAGGAGGACAGAGAGCCCTTCCTGTATCTGCTGTTCCCAAGTGCCCTCGGCTCAAAATAATCCAGATGCCAAAGTGGCATATTTGGGGTTGTGTGATCTGAATCCTTTCAGTGTAAAACAGATAGTCAAATGAAGCCAGCTAATTGGACTCTGAAGCATTGGGACTGGATGGGCATTAGCTGCTTAGAAACTAATCTAGTCATCTCTACAGCAAAATTAGAGGGGCTTACATAAATGTCTGTATCCTGGCTTAACTGCATTGAAACTGATATCAAATTGCTATACTGATTTTTAAAAATCACATTAATCTTGTATTGGAAAGTTTCCATGGAGTTCAGTTTAAACAGTTAGAGAAACATCACAACACACTAAATTCCCATCTGTCTCGTGTTGTGGGACAAAGAACTCAGGACAAAGTAGTGCCAAGCTTCTTGTAACTGCGTAAATTACACTGGCAACTCCTCCGATGCCGGGGAGGTAACGCGGCTCTGGGGAATGAGCCTGAGAGCTTCCTGCCCAGCTGTGCTGCTGACTCAGGTCCAACTGCGGTCCGCGCGTTAGCCCTCACCGGCTCAGGCGTCTTCATCAATGAAGTGAAGATGCCCGTCCATGCATTTTTGAAATGGACAGAAAGGAAACACCCTGCCCGTGGGAAGGGGTAGAAAGGAGGTCTGGGAACTAAGAAGACGTCATCTCAATCAGTAATATGTTCATTCCGTCTGTAAGAGAAAACATAAAGCAAATGACAAAATGCTAAACTTGTATTAATCCTGGGCGATGTGGACCTGGACGTGTGTGAGCGTTTTTTCTAAACAGCTTTGCAGTTCATAAAGATAGGCTTCGTTGACGTTTACATGCAATAAGATGCACCCGTTTTTTGTGTATAAACGAATTCCTCCCATCAAGTTAATTAACATATCCACACCTCTGTATTAACTTTTTTTTTTTGGTGAGAAAATTTAAGTTCTACTCTCCTAGCAAATTTCACTTATGCAATCCAATGTTATCAACCATAGTCACCACGTTTCACATTAGATCCTCACACTTACTCCTCTTACAGCTGAACGTCTGTGCCCTTTCACCACTCTCTCCCTACATCCCCACCCCGAGCCCC